CCGTACCACTTCCATATCGCCTACCGGCCCGGCTCCAAGAACCTCAAGGCGGACGCTCTCTCTCGGCGTTTCGCACCAGATGCCGGGCCCCCGGAGCCTCGGACCATTCTACCGGCTCAACGCTTCCTGGCCTCCCTCCAATGGCCGTTGGAGCAGTCCATACAGGCGGCACTTCCTGGCGATCCAGCGCCGCCGGAGACCCCACCGAACCGCCTCTACGTTCCCGCCTCCTGCCGGCAAGAGGCGCTCACGTGGGGGCACTGTTCACGGCTCGCGGGACATCAAGGGCAAGCCCGTACCCTCCAGTTCCTCCGTCGGGCTCTCTGGTGGCCGTCCATGAGGAGGGACGTCCGCGAGTTCACAGCTGCATGTGATGTGTGTGCTCGATCCAAGTCCTCCAACCGACCCGGCGCTGGAGAGTTGCAGCCTCTCCCTGTGCCCAAGCGGCCGTGGTCACACATCGGGCTGGACTTTGTCACGGGACTGCCGGCGGTCGACCACCTGGACACTATATTGACTATCACGGACCGTTTCTCCAAGGCCGTGCACTTAGTGGCCCTGGCCGGCCTCCCCACGGCCAAGAGGACGGCCGAACTGCTCCTGGAACAGGTGGTGCGGCTCCATGGTTTCCCTCAGGACGTGGTTTCCGACCGAGGACCCCAGTTCGTCTCACGCTTCTGGAAAGCGTTCTGTCGCCTGGTCGGTGCTTCCACCAGTCTGTCCTCTGGATACCATCCGCAGACAAACGGTCAAACAGAGATAGCTAACCAGCAGCTTGGACGCTACCTGCGCTGCTTCGCTTCGTCCCAGCCGACCACCTGGCCCCGCTTTCTCCTGTGGGCGGAGCTGTCACACAACCTCCAGACCTCCTCAGCCACGAGTCTGTCTCCCTTCGAGACCTGTTACGGTTATCAGCCACCTCTGTTTGATCATCAGGTGCCCGAGGTGGAGGTCCCTGCTGCCCAGACGCTGGTCCGCCGCTGTCGGCTCGCCTGGATCCGGGCCCGTGCGGCCATCACCCGGGCCAACACGGAGTATGCCCGTCAGCATCGCCGCCGCCACCGGCCTGGCCCCGTCTTCCGGTCTGGCGACCAGGTGTGGCTCTCCTCTGCTAACCTGAGGATGCCGGCTGGCTCCCGGAAGCTCACTCCTCGCTTCCTGGGTCCGTTCCCCGTCCTTAAGGTCATCAATCCAGTCACCTGCCGTCTGCGCCTCCCGGCTACTCTCCGGATCCACCCGGTCTTTCACGTCTCCCAGCTTAAGCCGGTGATCTCCTCTCCTCTCCACCCTCCACCGGTCCGGGTGCCTCCGCCCCGCGGTGTTGAGGCGGATCGCACCTACACGGTCCGCAGGATTCTGGACGCTCGCCGCCGGGGACGAGGTTGGCAGTACCTCGTGGATTGGGAGGGGTACGGGCCTGAGGAACGCTCTTGGGAGCCCACGAGCTCGTTTGTCGACCCTACCCTGCTGACTGACTTCTGGGCCCGCCGTCCTGGGACTTCGGGAGCCGTCCCTCGAGGGGGGGGTCCTGTCACGAACTCCTCCAGCTGACTGCATTCCATTCATTCCTGCCACCAACGTGGCGACTGACGTCATCACGCCGGCACTACTTAAGGAAGTGCCGGCGTTTCATTCATTGCTCAGTCATCGTTTCTCACCAGACTTTGTATCGAGTCTCCAGGCTTACCAGCCCTCAAAACACTCAAACTACACCTACAGGAGATAACCACGCCGGCTATCTCCGTCTCTCCGCGTCTGGGCAACAGAACTCTCAGTCACGCTTCAGATCTGCCAACGAACCTGACAGAACATACTGTAAAGATACCCCCCCGTGCCCCCCCCCCCCCCCACACACACACACACACACACTTCCAAAGTGAAAATTACGTCCATGCATGCCATGTATCATCGCCGGCTCCATTAGTGTTTTAAGAGTTTTAGCACTGACTGTTTTAAAGTGACAAAGTGTTAGCCTGGCAAGCCTAGCCTAGCATCACTCCATTGACGGCTCTCTGACGTGGGGCAGGTTTTACCAATGTCTTTCAAACGATCACATGCTACTAGACAACGAACAACGTGACAAACTCACCCCAACAGATGTCGGTAAACGAGGTGGTCCGATGTTGAAGAAGGCGAAGATACATCCTTTGTTGTAAAAATAGAACTTTACATCTATCTGCTCCTGATTCTAATAAAACCAAGTCCAAATAGTCCAACATTGATGCGAAAGCCCTTTCAAACGAGTTGTCGCCATCTTGTTTCATTCTGTTGCATCATCCAGCCCTCCAGACGAATAGCGGGTTCTGATTGGCTCACAAAGCGTATAAAGTGCTGTGATTGGTTCACAAAGCAGATAGAGTGCTATGATTGGCCCACTATTGGACCATTCACAGCTCTCTATGTGTTTGAAACCCCTTGATTGGCCAGCCAGAATGCTGCTAGGGGCTGCAGAGGTTCCAATGCAGCATTCCTAGACCAAACTTTGCAAGGCAAGAATTTGGTCTGGTTCACTAGGCTAACAGTGTGTAGTTTTTAGCATTAATCTCTGGAAATATCCATTAAAATGTTGTTGTAAATAATTAAAAGATACCCAGTAGATGAAAAATATTGGCGGTTTAATAATATGTAACCATAAAACTCGGGACCAAAATACATGGGAGTGGGTCTAATCTCTGGGCAACGCCATATTGGATGCCATGTTTCCTTCTACGGAAGCCCGTGAGGACAGAATGCATTTACTGATTTGTAACAAATGGTTACAAAACTTTCAGCATTAATAAGCATTGTTCTTTTACACATTTACCTCTTCACTCATTACAAGTGATGAAATGGAATCTGATGTGCTTCTCATTTTGCTGGAGGTTGTGCTCCCAAGGATTTTGGACCCTAATGGCCATCTGTTGGCAGAGGTGGAAAGAGTACTAAAATTTCCTACTTAAGTACGAGTACCAATACTTTGATAATTTTTTAATCAAGTACAAGTAAAAGTACTTGCCTAAATTTTCACTCATGTAAAAGTAAAATGTATTGTAAATAAAATGTACTCAAAGTAAGTTACTTAGTTACATTTTTGTCAGCGTAAAGATGGATACATCAGTGCAAAATCACAACATAATTCTTTATTTTTTTAAAAATGTTAATTTTTAGACACCATCAGTATGTGAGGTATCTCAATGTTCTTATGACAAAACTCTAACATGAGACTGTGCTCTAACCTGTCACATAACAAGCTAAATGCAGTCAAACATTTCAGATGGACCGTATGAAAGCTGCTAACGTTGGCCCTGCCCTACTTTACCTCTACAACAGTTCTTCGTGTCCATCCTTGAGCTTCTCTCTAACCTTCATCTATATTTATCATAAACACTATTGATACGTCATTTATGAAATATAAGTTATTTTCCTGAGCCATTACTTCAGCCAAGATATAGATTGGATTTGATGAAACCATGCTGTCTCATGCAGTCCTATATGTGTCACACACACACACACACACACACACACACACACACACACACACACACACACACACACACACACACACACACACACACACACACACACACACACACACACACACACACACACACACAGCAAGTTAGAATCTTTTGAATGACTAATTTAACTACATTGAACTGCTTTTGTGATACTTTAATCTCTTATTCTGGAGTAAAATAAAGAAACAAGCTAAATCATCACACATCTGTGGCATCAAGGAGCATCTTCTGAGTTCAGACACAGGGATGGAGCACAATGTTTACACCTGAACAGTATCAGGATGTTTTAACTCACAGAGGCCTGCAGGTCTTCTGTTTTATGAGCAGAGCGCTGAGAAGCAGAGCGCTAAACGTTATTTTGCCGCTTCCGTGCGGAGCGGTAGGGAAACACATTTCAAACACGGAACCGAGTCTGGTTACCGAACCGAGCAGGATTCTGATGACGTCACACCGGTGCGCGAAGGTGCGGGTTCCAACCCACAGGAGAGGAGGGAGAGAGGAGGTAAACAGCGAGTGGATCACAGGGACTGAACTAATGATTTTCAGCAGAAGTGTCCCCCCCACAGTTTAGACGCGGTGCTCATGCAGGTGTCGCTTTCTGTTCCGATGCTGTTACATGCAATATTTTTAATTTATTAAGCCTATAATTTATTTTTACTCAGTAACGGATATGATTGAAATTGAGTGAATTACAATTCTTTTTTAAAAACATACTCAAGTGAAAGTAAAAGTACAGATTTTAAAAACGACTTAAAAAGTATAAATATACAAAAAAGCTACTCAATTACAGTAACATGAGTAAATGTAATTCGTTACTTTTCACCTCTTGTCTGTTGGTAAGGTCTTACTTGAACACAAAAGTACTGCTTGCTTGCAATTATTTAGGTATCTACTGCCCTCTATCGCCAGGGAAAACACACGCTGGTCAGTGGACCTTTAATTGGAAATATGGTCGAGGCGGTTTATGACGGTTTTAAGCTACTGTTCTTTTCCGGAGAAGAAAAAGATGAATGACACATACAATACCCAATCAGATTGCGGAATCGCATCATTGACCACGCCTTAGTTTACGTCTGCCCAATAGACATGCGGATTGGGTGTCGCCTGCAAGTAGTGCAGATTTGAGAACAGCTTTAGTGTAAGACATGTCCTCACGCTAACGTCGTGTACATATCCATACTGCTCCAAAGTCAGCGCTTCAACGAAACTCTAGTCTTGGAGGACCGCAGTCGACGCGTAACTTTTTATTTTATTTTTCAAACATTTTGCTTTTTGCACAGCCGCTATAACAATGTAGATGCACCCATGAAGTTAAAAATGAACGGCTTTTGAATCGCAGACCTTAAATTTGGGGAATGAAACAAAAGAACCGTTTTGTTTTCGAGGGAACAGCTGGAGGAGCAGTGACCCGGAGGAACCACTCAGCTCGGTACAAAGTGAGTACTCGCACGTTTATTATGAACTGTAGCAGTAGTCAGACCATTGTACGCTAGAGACACTTACGTTAAACCCAGCCGAAGTTAGCGCCGTTTAAGCAGGTCATCGGTTAGCCCGACTGGTCCAGTGGGACACCATTAGCTAACCTACTTGTTGATACACTTGCCACGAGGTGACACGCGCGGGTCTCTTAGCGCAGGCTAGCAGCGCGGTGAGTCCTTCTGGGCTTGGGGAGGTCTGATTGGGTCATGGTTGTTTGGGAATCCCACGTCTTGTGAAACGTTCGTGAGAAAGTCACTCCGGCTGATAACAGCTGTGGTTGAATGACGCCTTCCCCACGAGACGGTTGTTTACCCTCGAGAAAGGGCGTTCTGAATCAGAAAGCGTACAAAACAATGAGATGACTTCGTGCTAAACCTTCAGCCTACACCAACACACCCTGCACGCGCAGCTCCTCCCGGACAGGAAGTGTGTTGGACCTGCTAACCAGGTGTGGTGACCCAGCTGACAGCTCCGAGCTGGCTCTCCTGGGACTCTCAGCTGATCTCATTAGTCATCGAAGCACTTTTTGTTTTCATGTACATCCAGCATGCATTACATTTATTTAACCAAACACAATGAGAGTCAGTAACTCTTGCAGCCATCTTGTCATGAACAGTGTCTCAATCATTATTCATTAAGAATGTTCTCGAGACGTCAGTGCTGATGCAGGGGCGGTTCTAGAATTGCAGGATTAGGGGCACTGTGCACCCAGTGAGCTGCTCGGCCACGCAAGATAAGTTCAACTGTTTTGTACGTTTTAACCATCTACATATAAAAAGGATGGACATAGCCAGTGTGCGATTTGTGGGGGGAAAAATGGGGTGGGGGGGTGGGGTGGGGGGGGTAATTGTTTCACTTTTTATTTATGAAAATTACAATATGCTTTTGTATGCCGATTGCAGGGTATTTTGTACATAGGTTTCTCCTTTTGACTGACAATGCAAAAAAAAAGTTATGTTGACACCTTTTTTCATCTTTGTGTGCATGCACGAGTGGCTGGGTGACAAAAACAAACACAATAGGGCCTGCTATGATGCGTGACGTACACTTTAACTCAGGGGTGTCAAACTCATTTTAGCTCAGGGGCCACATTGAGGGAAATCTAGTCCCAAGTGGGCCGGACCGGTAAATAAAAAAAAAACTTCAGATTGTTTTCTTTGTTTTAATACAAACAATATAAAACAAGGCTGGAGCCTGAGGACAGTGTAGTACAAGTACAACACCTGAAGTGTACTTGAAAATTTGAAAAAAAAAAAAAAATCAACAAATAGAAAAAACATTCCTTAGTGATTCAAAGAGCTTAAAGATCACATGGCTAGATCAGTTTCATGCAGCACTTAAAGTATATTTGACTCATTTTACTTTACAGCTTTTAGCTTTCACCAGCACATCAATATCAGAAGTCACATCCTGAGTGGCGGCCAACTTCAGGATGTGATAAGTTCTTGTGTGAGCCTTGAGCGCAACTTTGTTTTATTTAGACTCATTACAGAGAAAACTTGCTCACAATGATAAGTTTATTTTCACCTTACATTGTAAAGTATGAAAATAAAATTTACACAACCATCTTGCGGGCTGGATTTAACCCGCTTGCGGGCCGGATCCGGCCTGCGGGCCGCATGTTTGACACCCCTGTTTTAACTCATTCTCTGCCAGCCATTTCCTGATAGCTAACGGCCTTCACTGCTGCCATTTCTCACCGTTTTTACTGTTTTATTTAAGAGTCACAGAACGTTGCGCGCTAGGATGATGTCGACGTCAAAACAACCAAAACAAAGAGGAGACTCACCTCTTACATCAGGAAGAATCCGCGTGTTTCGAGCGTTATCCGTTCTTTCATAATCCGTTTGTCGAATTGTGCTCGGCAGCCGCTTTTCCGGTTTGCGCCTCACTTTTTTTTTTTACAGGAACGGCCCAAAACGATCTCCTAACACATGGATGTTCTGCTTCCTGATCGTGTGACGTGTGCGGATGAAGATCTGCTTCAGGGCTGAGATGTTTGTTCTCTCAGCGCGGGGGCTCGTTCCGATGCTCAAACAGTAAAAAAATGCAAATGATTAAAGTCGTCATTTGCAGTGAATGAGTTAATGAACGTTTACACACTAAAATCCCTGATATATATAAACACTTTACCACTCAATGACTACGTTTACATGCAGCCAATATCCGGGTTATGATCGGGTTAAGGTCGGGATTCGGGTTTCTGAGTTGATCAGAATAACCTGTTTACAAGCATAAATAAAAAAGAGTTACCCCTAACTTGCATAACCCGATTTAAATGTGGACGTTGGGGTAGCGTCAGGACGTATGGACTACGTCCAGACGCAATATGCGTCATTTCCGGTTCTTCTTGTTCTGGTATCCGTGAAAACAACAACATGTTTCCCAGTTCGGAAGAGATAGTGACCGCGTTTGTTTGCGCTTTAGTTTCCTCGTCACTCAAAGTGTGGTGCTGTGCCGCGACTCGCCATTTTGCCCCCAACTTGTTGTTTACCTCCGGTGTTCTGGCGCATACAAGACGTCTCGCTACTCAAAAGACCAAGATTCTTTGCGAACAGAGCATGCGCAGAACACACTCTTTGATGGGGATATCCCGATATGCGTTTACACGACCAAACATTCGGGTTAGAAAAGGGTTACCCCAGGTGTAGTAACCGGGTTTTTAAAAACCCGGTTATGAGCATATCTGGGTTTTTGGCAGTGTTTACAAGGACCTGCGGAACCGGGTTATTGTGAATATTCGGGTTTTAAAAGGGTTACTGGCTGCATGTAAACGCACTGAAAGACAGGAGGAGGTTTAGAGAGAAGCTGATTGAAGACTAAATTAAAGTTATTTAAGCCTTTATGAGGTCTGGGATGACCAAAAACATCTGTCCAATACGCTGGTGTTTTTTTTTTTTTTTTGCTTCTCACAAATCGGCTGGGGAATAAATTATTATTTCTTAACAGAAAGCCCTGGCTCTGTGAACAGAACGCCTCTCCAACGTGCCTAACATTGTGAGTGTTTGCCCACTCAAGTCGATTATGACGATGGACTGCAGTCAGGTCCAGACCCCGATGAAGACGACGAGCATGCAGATGAGCTTCCCTGAAACGGTTTCTGATAGTTTGTGCAGAATTTCTCTGGTTATGCAAACCATTTGTGGCTGCAGCTGTCCGAGTGGCTGGTCTTAAGGGATCCTGGAGGTGATCATGCTGGACGTGAAGGTCCTGGGCTGGTGTGGTCTCACGTGGTCTGTGGTTGTGAGGCCGGTTGGATGCACTGCCAAATTCTCTGAAATGTCTTTGGGCACGGCTTGTGGTAGAGCAATGAACATTCATTTCATGGGCAACAGCTCTAGTAGACATTCCTGCAGTCAGCATGCCAATTGCACGCTCCCTCAAAGGTTGGGACATCTGTGGCATTGTGCTGTTTGATCGAAAAGGGTGGCCTTTTATTGTGGGCACACCTGTACACTATTCATGCTGTCTATCAGCCCCTTGATATGCCACAGCTGTGAGGTGGGATGGATTATCTTGGTAAAGGAAAAGTGCTCACTAACATGCATGTAGACATGTAGAGTCATGGGTGTTTTGTGTATGTAGACTCATTTTCAGATGTTTGCGTTCAGCTCATGGAAAATGGGAGCAAAAACTAAAGTGTTGCGTTTATATTTTTTCAGTGTAAATGTGTTCAAATACCAAACAACTAAATAACAACATTAAAGGTGAACTGTGTAAGAGCAGAGTAACAGCGACATCCTGTGGTCAGATTTGGTTACTGCAATTTCTGTTTCTGTGGGTTTCCATGTAGTGAAACTAAAGTTTATATGTTTTATCAACCATGATACGCTAATACGCTAATGTGTACTGTGAGGAGCCAAATGGGGAACTAATCTTCCATGTTGGCCTGGAGACCCCAAGATTCCCTCATAGAAGCTGGCAGTAGTTCCCATGATGAAGGAAGTCTGGTCTGTGGATGGACGACTGCTTCCCCAGCACGACTATCCATCAGTCGGAAAAGGATGGGTGGAGTCTGGAATGATTTACAACTTTACATCAGAGGGAAGATCTAAATTATTGCCTCACAGCCATCATTTATTTGGAAGATTATAAAATAATTTAAATAAAGTTTTAATCCAGCTTTGTGCAACAAAGCAGTAGCCCTTTTTATAAGACACACCATGCCGGCAAATCGGCGTAATATTCCCGCAATGGTATGTCGTATAAACGCGCCGTGCCGGCATGACGTTGCATGAATTTTGCAGCATTCATTCTGCCTCGCTTGGTAGTAAAATTGCGGTAATGGTCTTTCATATGCGCCCTGGCGCAACAGAGGCAGATGTCATGATGATGTGTGGAGTTATTGCTGAGCTTCGGCAGGCAGATTTATTGAAAATGAAAGTAAACACAGGCAATAAGGTTTGCATTTTGAACAAAATCAGCTGAGATGGCAAACTGGAGCGCTGCAGCGCTCCACAAGCCTCTCTGTTAGAGCTGGAGCAATTAGATTTCCGGTCGGTAACAAGATGGCGCCTGTGCTTGGCTTAGCCGCAGTCACTGGCCACTTTTTCATACTTTTCTCCACTAACCTCCTCTTTTCCACCTTGCTCCTGTCTGCGATCCTCTTCTCTAGTGTCCCTGCTACCATCTCCTATGATCGCCAGACTCTTTTGTCTCTTTTATATTTTAATTGTTCTTTTGAAGCAACTCGTGCTTTGTTTTTATTAAGCGCTACAAAATCCTTTCTTGTCATTTGTGTGCTTCTGTGAAGTCTTTGGATGCACAAGTTCAGTGAACTTGATTCAAGACTGGAGAGAGACCAGTAGAGCCACTGGGCCAGCCTGAAAGACTGACAACCCCCAACACCCAAGAACATTCCACTGGCCATCATCTGTGGTTGGCTGCATTTACAAATGAAAGGCAGCTAACGATCAGTGATTTAGTCATTGTTATCAAACCAAGATGTCATTTGACAAAGCTCTGGTAGAGCTGGGAGAATCAGACAATGCTGGGAGTTCTAGTGTTAACATACAAAGAAAGTACAACTTCATCAATTAATAAGAGGTTTTTAAAATATACAGTTACTCACCATCATTAAATATGAGCAAATGGGTGATATTGGAGCTAGTCTGCAGTTGGGTGGGACTCTCGCACACTCAGGCTTTTGTTTGTGTCAGCCAGAGAAGCAGGTTTATGTATGAAGCTCCATCAGCTCATTCAGCCATTAGCATTCCAGTTTAGCTCATTACCACAGTTAGCATGTCCTTTGTTATGCGTAACCAGACACAACTGAACATTAAACAAAACAAGCCGATTATTTGCTCCTCCCACTTGCTCTGCCCTGAGTTGCAAATGAAGCGCTCCTCCCACAGTGTTGCCAACTTAGCGACTTTGACGCTATTTCTAGCAGCTTTTCAGACCCCCTT